GAAATTACAATATCTTCGTTTTTTTTATTTAAATTAATTATTACATTTAAACAAACTTTATATAAATGCATATAAATTTATTATTTAAAAAAATTGTCATAATAATAAAAATTATTATTTAAATTAATTATGTTTTTAACTTAATATAATTAATTAAAATTATATATATTGGCCTCGTATGTATTTATTTTATTTTTAGGTGTGGGTGACAACAAATTAAAGGCCTAAAAGTCTTGTTATTAGTGGGTGACAATAAATTTCTTCACATTCTTAAAAAAAACAAAAAATAAATCAAATTGATAATCCAAGCGCGTGAAGGTCAAGTGGCAAACTTGTAATTAATAAGAAACCCAGTGGCATTTCTGTATAACCCTTGACCTTATATGGACGAACCACATTCACCCCTGTTCCTCTAGAAACCAACGGAACTTCTTGGTAATCATCCAAAATGGGTATCTCACGCGTTTCTGCTCTCATTGCTGCGTTCGCCGTTCTCGCCGCTCATTTTCTGATCTTATCGGCAGCGGCCATCGATTTCTCCGGCGACAACGAGATTCTCTTTGCTCCGACTAAATCCGAGTGCCGAGGCTCAATCGCCGAGTGCTTTCTCGCTGGAAACGATGACGATTCCGGCTTCGGAATGGAGTTCGAGATGGACTCTGAAATCAATCGCCGAATTCTAGCGACTACTCGCTACATCAGCTATGGTGCTCTGAGGAGGAACAACGTTCCTTGCTCCCGCCGCGGCGCTTCTTACTACAACTGCCGTCCAGGCGCTCAGGCGAATCCTTACACCCGTGGTTGTAGCGCCATTACTCGCTGCCGAAGTTAATTTCTCGCTTCGTTCTTTTTTGGATTTAGATTCCTCGCCGTATTCTATCGGTTAGTACTTCTTGTGTTTATACTAAATATACATGTCGATCGAGTAATAAAATCCATACTGATGATTGAAAATGTAATTTAAATCTGTTTCTCTGAGTCTTCTACATGTTTTCCTTCATTTTTTTGTTATTTTCGTGACTGATTCTGGATATTTCCAGAAACATTTGTTCTTGCTTGCGATTGCCAATACAGTGATAGGAAGAAACACAGTATTCGTATAAATTGGTGATTGATATTGCTGAATTTGCAGGTCACTATTTGAGTTCATCTTTTATATAATTTTCTATTTATTTTAGTTGGATGAATTTTTGGCTGTCACGTTTGGGCTACCTGAATCGATGCAGATTTTTTATTTTTCATTTTTGATTTCACCTCTGATTTTTTTCTAATCTGAACAGAATGGTCATACTTCCCAAAAATAGTAGTCATTGATTTTAATTTTATACTCTTAATCTTGGCCACAATTTTTTTTCATATGAACATTTTTCAAATTCTAAATAACCTGTGAAGACTACATAGTTTTCTTTTCTAGTTTAACTAAAATAAATGAAATATGAAAGAAAACTCCTTATGAACACAGTCTACAACCGAAAAAATGAGTTCAATCAATGATTTTCATTATACAAAATTATTAAAGTTTGTTTGAAATTACGGTAAGAACTTCAGAATAAATGTTGGAGTGAAAAACAAGCTTATAAAAAATATTCATATTATTTAAAAAAATTGTCATAAGATTCATGAACGTTTCCAAAACTACCGTCATGAAATTTTTCGCATCAATTAGGATGGTTTTATTTTCATGATATTTTAAAAATATATATATAATTTAGCTATATATATATATATATATATATATATATATTAGAATGAATTACGAAGAAAATCCAAGCATGTGAACGTTGGAGTAGAAGTGGCGATAATAACGAAAACTCCAACGAAGAGTGATTAAGAGGCAGGCCAATTGAGTTAGCGTCACATGGCGGTCACTGAAAGGCATTTGCAATCGAATTCGATACTCGTCTGTAATGATGGGATCTTTAGCTTTTCTGTTGGCCGGTTATTGAGCGCCTTGTATATATCCCTGTCGTTTTAGCATCCGTGAATCCCTCCCTTTCTTAAAGGTATGTTTGGGGTTGGACCACCACCACGTTGTGGGACCCACTTCATGTTTTTTTTTTTTTTTTAAATTGATATTAAAATTTACCCGTTTAAATTATGGCGTGCCGTTACATTTCCACTTTCGGCATCGGTATTAGATAAAGTGAAGTATTATTATTATTATTATTTGTTTAAATTGTATTCGATTTTTAGAGGTAAAAAAATGTTTTGTGATTTATAATTTTTTTTAATTCATTTCATTTATATTTTATGCTAAATTAATAAAAATTTCTATAAAAATGTTTAAATAATATTGTTAAATTTATTTAGAAACAAAAAATACTTCTAAAACTTAAAAAAAAATTGAAAATACTCTTACTTTAATTTTTTATCTTTAAAAAAATTTAAAAATTGTCATGAAATGACCGTTTTAAAACTATGAGGACGACGACAATACATACCAATCCAAAGTGGACAATATCTGTTAGTGGTGGACTTGGACTTGGGTTTGGGCTGTTACAAATAGTCTCCGAGCTAGACTCTAAGCGATGTGCCAACGAGGACGTTGGGTTCCAAAGGGGTGAATTGTGAAATCTCACGTTGGTTTAAAAAGGGGATCGAAACATTTCTTACAAGCATGTGGAAATCTTTCCCTAGTAGACGCGTTTTAGAATCGTGAGGCTAACAACGATACATAACGGGTCGAAGTGGACAATATCTACTAGCGGTGAACTTCGACCGTTACATAAAATTTTTCATCTATAAATTTAATGGGAAAAAATTTGATGGTTGTTATAAAACAAACTTCAAACTTTATGGGTTAAAATGATAACTTTACCGTTGCTGAAATAGTTTCTTGAACTCGGCAATTCACGTGTTGAATTGCATGCCAGTAATATTTAAGTATGATTGATCATTGAGCTTGGGCCAATGAACTTAGATTGTCTATTTATATTTTTCCTGTCTTGTCCCGAGAGCTTTGATCTTAAATGATCTATGGCTAACCCGACAATTGAAGTTATAATCAAATAGGTTCGAATGTTTTAATGTTTGTGAATTCAGGGTTCACGCGACAAAAAATCGTTTGATACCAAAGTATTTTTTCTATCATATCATCGGTATCAAGCTTAGGCTCTAAATTGGGTGTACGTGTCAAAAAGTATGATGAAGAAATTGGGGTTTTTGTTAGACAATGAGTTTTAGAATAAAAAGTTAACGGTTCACGTTTTTTTACTGAAATTAGGAAGGGATAAGGAATTTTGGAATCAACGCTTCGTCGTGGAGCGGTCGTCTTTAAATTTATTTAGAATAGAAACAAACAAAAGTTAACGTTAAACAACCATACGTTTAAGCCAATACGAGGATATTTACGACACGTTTTTACTTATCTAGATCCAACGTCAATAAAAGCAAATCTTGTTTATAAAGTCCTTACCTTACTTGAACACATAATAGTAGAATCTATATATAACATTAATAATAACAATAATAATTAATATAAATAATATATATATATATTTAATGTGAGATCCCACGTCTTTATAAAGGGTGCAGATGCATTATAAATTCGTGAGGCTAATAGCGATACATAATAAGTCAAAGCGGACAATATCGACTAATAGTGGAGTTGGGTTGTTACAAATGGTATCAGAGTCAAACATTTGGTGGTATGTCAGCGAAGGACGTTGGCTGCCAAGAGGGTGGATCGTGAGATCCCATATTGGTTGGAGAGGGGAACAAAACACTCCTTATAAAGGATGTGTAAAATCTCTCTCTAGTAGACGTGTTTTAAAATTGTGATGATGATGACGATACGTAACGGGCCAAATCAGATAATATCTGCTTACATTTAATCTCGAGCAAAAATGACGGTATAGATACCTATCACGTTCTCATAAATCTATCAAGTTCGTCTAGCTCAAAGTGAAAAAAAGTTACGAAGAGCGTTATTAAATATGAGAGATAAGCTAAGATAAACACAACTCAACGAGACAAGAATCTATCGAAATTAGGGTATTGAAGACAAGTGACAAAGATGGTGGGAACAAAATGAGACTCGTTATTATAAGAGGAAGGGAGAATTTGCTTTCCAACCAATCCACTACTGCCACGTGGGTCCAACAGAAGCACCGGATTCTCTCATTGAGCGACACGTCACTTCCAAGTCTAAAATTTCAACGGTGTACTACGCAAACATCCATCTCAGCGTCCACATCGAAACAAAACCCAGAAGCACGCGAGGAGCACGTGACCACCCCTTTGAATCCATGGTATCAAGTTCCTTCACTAAACGATTCTCTCTCAAACTTTTTTTTTTCAAAATATTTTAAGACTTGTAAAAGGTTTAGAATATTAATTCCTATGATTTAAAAAAAGGATTATTTAAATAAAGTATTAAAATTAATAAATAAATATTTTATACTTTAAAATAATATAATTTTTTTATATAGTTATATTTTGTTCTTTATTTTTTTCAATTATATAATAAATGGTTATATATATATAGGTGAAAAATATTAATAGAAATTAAAGATTTTCATTTAGCTCGTGGGACTAGGTTACACGGGATCCACTGCATGAATGAAGAAGAGAGTGAAAAAGATTTATCTCAATTAACTAAATAAGTCTGGAGACAAACGATCTGCCTAAATTTCTGATATTAACTTTTTATATATATATATATATATATATATATATATATATATATACGATTAAATAAATGTATTTTTAAACACGATCGGTTGATTATATTATATTTTTATTAATAAATTGTTATTGAATTTATTAAAGTATTATAATTTTTTTAATATAAATTATATTAGAAAATAGACACTATTTATTACAAGTTATTTAAAAGAATATATATTTAAAAAAAAAAAAAGATTTTCATCATTTATATAACTATAATATAAATGTCCATAAATGATGGGAAATCTAATATTCATCTAAATAATTTAAATAAAAAACAAAGCAAAAAAAGAAAAACAGTCGCAGTATAAAAACTGGCCTTCAACGCCACTCAGTTCTCTGTTTCTCTCTGCCGGGCGGCGGCTTCTGTAAAATTTCCAAAACCTTTTCGTTTCTCTCTCAGAAACCCTAATTCTCCTCCGAACGGCTTTCACTGCTGAAACGTCGACTCTGTGCGATCCATTTTTTGGAGTGAAGATAATTTTCGGCTTCAGGTTTTGCATTAATGGAGGGCTCTTTAGGGCAAAAACACAAGCCGCAGGAGTTCACTTTGGTTTCGATTTCTGAGCTTGCTTCTTCGTCTTCCTCCTCGTCATCGTCGTCCGCGCCGGTGGTTGCTCGGTTTGGCGGGGATTCCGGTGCGGCGGAGCTTCGGTTACGGCAGGAGACCGATTCCGATGACATTTCTTTCGATCTCCGGACTACTCAGGTTCTGTTTTATTTGTGATGAGTTTGCTTATCGTGATTGTTGTTGTTGTGTATGGGAGAATTTGGAAGAAATAAAGACGAGAGAATAAAAGACCTACCTTTTGTTTTATTTCTTCTGTTTATCGGTTCTGCATTCTTTCTTGATTAGTGCTTGGTTTGCTTTATGAATGAGCTTAACGACGTACATTTTCCATTCTTAGGAACATTGTGTGTTGAAAAGAACGCATATAAAGGATTTAATATACCATAACCTAAACATCTAGCTTTTAAGTTCAATGATGATTTACTATGGTACGAAAAAGCACGGGGCAGTTCGAATGGCTTGTACTTCATGAGTTAATTAACACTCTAACTTACGCGTGCGTGTTTAAGCGTATATATAAAAGATTAGGTATACTTGAACTTTTGTTAGCTTAAGTTTTTAGTTTAGTGGTGAGTTGATGGTAGCGACCATTTATAGAGAATATAATATGATTAATTTTTATATTTCTTTTATGTCTTCAGATATTTCGGCTAAGCCCTGTTCATTCAGTTTGCATATCAGAAGGCGATGCTGGTAAAGAGGTAAGAAGGGTAGTTTTATGTGAATATGCCGAAAGCATATCTTCGAGGCTGCAAATATTTGTCTGCATGCTCTTATTATTTTGTTCAATTCTGCCATTTTTTGTATGTTGCTTACCTTACGAATCTGTACTTGGCATTAGTGATTTAGTATTGGTATAATTTAACAAGCTGAAGAACGAAGCACTGTTCATTGCTTGTGTTATTGAATAGTTTCGCTTTTGAAACAGAAATCTCATTCCAGAGGAGTTACCCTTCTATTTAGAAATGAGGAAGAGTGCAGTGCATTTCATTCTGCTTTTGATAAGAGGAAGAAGGATGATATTGTCCAAGGTAAGCTCACCCCGAATGTTGCAACTCTTTGCGAACAAATTTATTGATGTTTTCATTGTGAACACGTTACTGAAGTTATCATTTTTCTACATCCAGGCTCCCATTTGCCAAATGGTGCAATTTCCTCCTTAAAAAGCAGGTTTGATGACAAAATAGAATCATCCTCTTCAAAGATGTACTTCCACTACTACGGACAACTTTTACATCAACAAAATATGTTGCAGGATTATGTGAGAACAGGTAATATAATTTAGCTGTTGTTTATCTTGCAATTTTGTTTTGTGGACCAGTTTCTTAATTTTTTATTCAAACGTCTTATTATCATTATTATCATTGTATTGATAGCTTAAACAATGGCATATGCGTTACCTGCCCGCACAGTCACATTATACATATTAACAGAATTACATGGTATGTTAACTTTGGCAGTCTTTTGCTGATTCAGGAACATACTATGCAGCAGTAATGGAAAATCGTGCTGACTTCACGGGTCGTGTGGTTGTTGATGTTGGTGCTGGTAGTGGTATTTTGTCATTATTTGCCGCTCAGGTACTTGTGGTTATAGTCGAAGTTTTTTTAATCTCTTTGTTTATTCGGTTCCACAGTTCTATAATTAAATGGAAGATCTTATGCCTTGAATCTTCAACAGGCTGGTGCAAAGCATGTTTATGCTGTGGAAGCATCTGAAATGGCCGAGTATGCTCGCATATTAATTTCTGGGAACCCTGCCCTCAGTGAGCGAATTACAGTGAGTTTTTTTTTAATCATGTAAAATTCCTTGCAAGTATCATTATTTGCCATTTTTTTATGTTATAGTCATGTTCTCTAATTCAAAATTCAGGTAATTAAGGGCAAAGTTGAGGATGTTGAATTACCTGAAAAAGCCGACATTTTAATCTCTGAGCCAATGGGTGAGAGCCGTTATCAAAGTGTCTTTCATTTTCAGATTATCTTGGGAGATTGTGTAATTTGTGAATGACCTTAAAACTTTTAGCTATTTACTCTCGTTTATATTTAAACGCCCTGAAAACGGTATAACCCCCAAATGAAAAGGTTTGAAAGTTTAGTTCAATCCATCCCCATTCCTCATTGTTCTTGTTTTCTGTTAGGCACCCTATTGGTCAACGAAAGAATGCTGGAATCGTATGTGATCGCCAGGGATCGTTTTTTGAACCCAAATGGAAAGATGTTCCCCACAATAGGAAGGTAAATTAGCAGTAGAAAAATTTCATCGGGCACCCTTCTTGTCTTATATGGTTAGGGTAAAAATATGATCTCAAAGTTATCCTCATCGTCATGTAAGGAGACGACAGTTTTGAGTTTGTATTCGGTGTTTTAATACTAATACTTCACAACTTCAACATACAAGTCGGTCATTGTATTATCATGGTTTATTTGAATGCGTCTTTATCTTCTCGTTTTCTTGTACTTTTAAGTGCTTGTGAATCATTTATACATATTATTTTGTGTTCTTATGAGTTATAATGTTCCCCATGTAGGATTCACATGGCACCTTTCAGCGATGAATATCTATTTGTTGAAGTAGCTAACAAGGTGAAACTTTTGATGAACATCCCAAGACTGAAGTTTACCCTTTCTGCCTCTTAAGCGTAAAATTGTTTTCACTTTGGTCTCTGAGAACGATTTCTAATCAAGATAACTGAAACGTATCGTTTTGCTCTTTCCTACCGTCTTTTTTTGGTCACTCGTGAACAAACTAAACTTGATATGTTCGTTCTTGTAGGCTCTCTTTTGGCAGCAACAAAACTATTATGGTGTTGATTTGACAGCCTTGCACGGATCGGCGTTTCAAGGCTATTTTTCTCAGGTTTGCATCACTTTCATTTACCTGAAAATGAAATCGAAGGCCATTTATAATTTAGATCAAATTTTGATGATAAAACTAGTCCGTTACTTGGGATTCGGTCCGATACCGGAGGATTTCTGAATGACAGTGACGGAAATTTCATCTGTAAATGGTGGATTTGCTACATGCAGCAGCTTCTCATTCCTGTTTCTGTTGTTTAAACTATGTATCCATAATACTCTATTTCATTTTTCATACAGCCAGTGGTGGATGCTTTTGATCCAAGATTGTTGGTGGCCGCTTCAATGTCTCATGTTTTAGACTTCACAAATATCAAGGTACTAATATCCCCTTGAACTAGAACTTGTATTTTTCTTATTAATTCAAATATTTCTAGTATTTATGGTCTTTTGTTTACGAATAATTTTCTCTTTTTACATAATTATGAGATTGGCTGGGGAATATAAATTCTTTCACGTGTCATGCAAGGGAATGATTGGATTGGTTCTTGACCGAAATTGATTCAATCAATACATTGTTTTAAGGAAAATTGTAAAATCGAAACCGATCAGATGCTTAAATGAACGACCGAAAACCAACCAACTATTTTAGTTTTTATATTTCTAACGGATGAACTGATAGTCGGGGTTCCACCTGTGGGTTTTATTATTCTTTTTCTCATTATTAATTTTTATTTTTTAAATATATGGCTTGAAATGAAATCTGATGGGGAATCACTCTTAATATCAGGAAGAGGAATTGTATGACATAGACATTCCTCTGAAATTCGTTGCTAGTGTGGGTGCCAGAATACATGGATTAGCCTGCTGGTTTGATGTATTATTTAACGGCAGGTAACTGTTGGGTTTGAGATAAAATTTTGGCTATGGCTATTACATGTTTGAATGCTTATGAACAGCTTCAATCTACAGCACTGTGCAGAGGTGGCTTACTACTGCCCCGGGTGCACCGACAACCCATTGGTACCAGTTACGTTGCGTTCTTTCCCAACCGATTTACGTCATGGCAGGACAGGAAATTACTGGCAGACTTCATATGGTTTCTCACAGTGCTCAGAGTTACACCATTTATTTGACTCTATCAGGTTGATTTCTTGTTCTTCCTCACATTTTTGGTTCCTTGGTTTGTCTTCTGCGCTTGCTGCTAACTAAGACTGCTGTATAGCCAAAATGTGGGGACCTGGCGCCGAGCAAGGAGGAATACTTCAGTCGTCCTCGTGCAAACTCGACCTGAAAGAACCCTACTATAGAATGTCCCAACCACAAGCCTACCCTGTGGCTCAAGATCAGCAACAACACCCGCTGATGCAACCACAGGTATACGTCGTCGTATGTTTAACTTAAAAAAAAAATGTTCGATTTGGCTGAAACGAACTGAATTGTTCAAACAGGACTTATCCATTCAACCCCAGGATTTGGAAGACGCTGATCTGATGCTACAGGCATCGCCTAACTCGGGGGCTCCGCTCAATTCACTGATAGATAACATTTAAGTGACAGGGCATGTTCGAGGTCGGTGACGGGACACTATTTGTGTTTACTTTGGTGACGAGAACTCCGCAGAAGTTGTCGATGTTCACCTTTAATCTCCAACAGGCAGTGAGGCTACCATTGATTATGCTTCCACAGTGAGATTATTCAAATACGTTAAACAATAATCATATCTTGTTTGCTGCAATTTTTCCCTCCTTTCCAATATTATTTGGAGGCTTTTCAATGTTTTGCCTGATGATTGTAACGATTGGATTTTTTCCCCCCTTGGGGATTTTTACTAGAATGCTGTTTAAGGGAAATATTAGGTTGATTTTCTTTAGAATAATGTCTCATTTTGCATTTTCATAAAAAAAAAAAAAAAACAACAAAATCAGTACGCTGCTAATCAAGGAACTGAAAAATCTCGGCCGATCAGAACCGGTTGTCGGTTTTGTTTGAAACTGGATGGATTGTCAATTTTATCTTTTAGCATCTTATACCATATTGTCGGTCTTAGTTAAAATTGTATGCTTTGGCCCGTTACATATTGTTACCTCTACTAGGAAGAGGTTTCAAACGACAATGGGATATATTAACGTTAGTAATTGATTATTAACCATTTTAATTCTAACAGGTTAATAGTTTAATTTAAAATCAACTAAAAGAGTTGAAAGGTTAAAAAAGATCAATATTTAAGTAAAAGAAAAAACCAAAGCAAAACCTAATTATAAATTAAATTTATAGTTGATGAATAAATGAAAATATAGCACTCGTTTCAATTTATAATTAACTTTTATTTTAAATACTTAAATAAATTGATAATAAATATTGAAAGTTCACTTAAAATTTTAAATTTAAATTAAAAAAAGAATATGTAAAATAGATTACTTTTTTAATAAACCAAACTCAAAAAAAAAAAAAAAAATATATATATATATATATGTGTGTGTGTATATATATTGAATTTGATACTTCAAAAATGTTGAAATGGGCCTATAAATTAAAGTATTTGGGCTACTATTTTTGGGTTGGGCTTGGGCTACTTCTGAATTTGATACTTCAATTTGTTGAAATGGGCCTCAGGCCCATCATAGGAAGCAAGCACATGCAACCCTTGCGCCATTACTTGCCAGAAATTCAAACCTCGTTTCACAAGCTTCCTTCCCCGCTGGTTATGGCGGGTACGTGCGGCTCCGCTGTCTCTTTCTCTATTCATTGCAACAAATTCGCCATTTGCAGCACCAAGCCATTGCTTTCAGTTTCAGCTTCCATTTCCATTTCATCTCGTTCGAGGCTCACAAGAAGAAAAAATCACTTGCGAATCAAAATCCTCAAAACCCTAACTAAACCTCTTACGTTCACTGTCTCTCCCATTCCTCCGCAAATCGACTCTGAAACTCCGATCGTATCGCCGGAAATCTCAGGTCCTGCAGGCGTCGAGACCGAGGTGTTATCTCCGGTGGAATGTTGCCCTTCCTCCACTTCCACGGACGGTGAATCTCGACTCTCCGAGAGCTCGGACACTGCCTCGTTGTATAACTTTGATGTTGCCAACTTTTCTTTCGGAAGTTTTGTCAGGTTTGGCGTTTACTTGCTTGCTCTTTTTGCGTTTCAGACAATCTGTACTGTGTGGGTTTTAGATTATGGTAATTCAATTAAGGAAGATAAGAACTCAGATAAAGATTTGAGTATTAGAAGCAAAAGCGTAAAAGAAGTGTTGTTGAATGGAAATGAGAGAATCGTTCTTGGAAATTTCGGGTCTAAAACGAACGAGTTGGTTTATTTGGACGAATCGAAGATGAGAGACAAAATTGAAGAGATCAGGTTGTTGGCTAGGAAAGCAAGGAAAGAGGAGAAATATCAAAAACCTGATGATTTAGGGGAGGGCGACATGGAGGGTAGAAATGTAATTTCAAGGGCTAGGATTGGTATTGATAAAGAGATTGATGCACGACTTGTTAAGTTACAGAAGAGGCTAAATTCTAACAAAGATAGGCTACCGGATTCACCTGTAAATTTTTTGTTCAAGTCTGAGAATGTTGAGGAAGCTGCCAAAAGGAATGATTTCAATGATGAAGAAGAACGGAATAAGAGTCTAATATATAAGAAAAAGTTGCAATTCAGAAACTCTAATGGTGATAGAATGAAGAAGCCTAAGGGGTTTCAAGGATTTGTTTCTAATGTTAAAAAAAGTGGCTCAAATGGCAAGGCTATTAACAAGGGAGTGAAGGATGCCGAAAAGCGAGTAGCTAACGAAATCAAGTATAACGATCCCAAGATGTTCAAAGACGATAGCACGAATTTGGGCAGCGACAAATCTGTATTGCTACAGAAAAACGATGGAACGAATTTGGATCTTGATATTAAGGGTTCGAGTTCAAAGAAGAAATCAAGTAATGGTAATGTCTCTGAATTACAAGATATTGTTTTCAATTAATTGTATTTGGATCTTGAAATGGTTGTTGTTCAGAACTTCATATTTGGTAGTTAGAACAAATAATTATGGTTTGTTTTTCAAGTTTTTAGGTGCCGTTCAGGGGACTTCTTCAGTGGAGATCTCGAAGTCACAGAATTTAAAAGATGTAGTGGAGAAAAGATCTCCTTCGAGGGCTGATTCATGGTGGATGAATCTTCCTTATGTTCTAGTAAGTTAGAAAATATACTTTGTTTTCTGTATTTATTTTCTTCTTGATGGCATGATTTTAATTTAGGAAGACACTAAGCATAATCTGTGAGATCTCACATCGGTTGGAGAGGGGAACGAAACATTCTTTATAAGGGTGTGGAAATCTCTCTCTAACACACGCGTAATGGGGAAGCCTGTAAGAGAAAGCCCATCTGCTAGCGGTGGGCTTAGGTTGTTACAAATGGTATTAGAGTCAAGACATTGAGCGATGTGCCAGTGAGGACGCTGGGCCCCCAAGGGGGTGGATTATGAGATCCCACATCGGTTAGAGGGGAACGAAGCATTACATATAAGGGTGTTGAAATCTCTCCCTAATAGACGTGTAATGGAGAAGTCCAAAAGGAAAAACCCAAAAACCTTGAGGAGAAGCCTAGAAGGGAAAGTCCAAAAAGGACAGTATCTGGATGAGTACCGGTTCCGCTGTGTAACTCTAAAAGATGCCTTTTAAAATCGTAAGGTTAATGGTGATACATAACAGGCCAAAATGGACACTATCTGCTAGCGGTGGGCTTGAGTTTGGGCTGTTACATAATTTGAATTACGAGCTTATTGTTTTAGTCGTCAATCTCAATTCAAAATTGACTAGTCACACACTTAGCATAACAAATATTTCAATGGAATTACTTAGGTTTCGTTTGATAATGCACGTTTTTGAAGTTTAGGTTTGTTTCTTCCCAATTTCCTTATCATATTTTCGTTTTTCTACCAGAAACATTTGAATTCGTAATTTACTTTTAGTTTTCAAAATTTATTAAATTTCAAAAATAAAATCCAAATCGTTATCAAATAAAACCTTAGTTCTTATTTAACCTTCTTAGAATTGCTATATGGACAAATGGTTCTATATAAACATGACTTTAGTCCGAATTCATTAGAATTTTGGATGAAAGTTAGGACCTGCGTTGGTCAATATTAATTAAATAACTAATTATGTTTCAAAGAATTATCTTTAAACCCTATGATCTTTTTTTCTTTTTGTTTAATTATAAATTTTAACATCAAAATGTATCCCATCACAGGTTATTTTTATGCATGGAGGTTCCGAAGATGAAGAACATGGAGGACTTTTCACCTTAAGGGTTCCTTCCAAGACACAGGATAGTGAGGAATATACTACATATACAGTTGCTTTTGAACACCATGTTGATGCAAATAACTTCTGTTATCTTCTGGAATCATTCTTTGAAGAGCTCGACAATTTCACAACCGACGTCGTTCCTCTGCCAACAAAAGTAAGAGTTCTAAACTTCAATATTACGATATCTAAAGTTTTCCTACTCCGATACGAAGTAAATTAGTATTTGATAAATTTCAACTTTAGGTTAAAGTGTCAACTTAGATCAAAATATTGCATAATGTTATGTCGATATTTATTTTCGTAGTTTTTGTAAGATGGTTAATTAAACTTTTTATGATTTAAATTATAATATTGTATTTAGTTGAAGAAATAAATTTGAAGGAATAATCTTGATTTAAGGAATATTTAGTTGATGTGTACGTGGTGACGATGTCGTCATACCCAAGTAGCTTAAGTTGATTTTAGTGATGAGTTTCGTTTTTCTAGTTTAACAATTGTGGGTGTGGGAGTAGATAATTGAATCATCAACGTTTTGGATGATAATTACCTAATTGGTGCTTGGATTAGCGAGTTTGTTAGTTTTTTTGTTGTTGTTCTTGACTTTTGAGATGGTAATTGTTTAATTGGTGCCTTATCAACTTAGTTATGCTTGAATTGTGGATAAGTTTGTGGTTCGTATCTGCATACCGTGTAGAACGCTTATATTCTTGCTTGGTGCTTCTTAGGAACTCGAGAAGGTCATAAAATCACATACAAGTAAAATGATTGTTGTGAAGAAGGGGCAATTGCAGCTCTATGCTGGTCAACCGTTTGCCGATGTCGAGATGGCTTTGTATGCATTAGTCGAGCGAAATGAGAATGTTATTTCTTTTCATTCGAGATAGGGACGATCGGTGTCACGGTCAATCTGTTGCAAATGCAGCCAGGGAACCGTACCGAAGATGGGGAAAATTTGATATGGAATGTAGGCACCATTTCCTTGGATTCCATGGTTATCTAAAATTAGACCAGGAGAGTTGAATTTAGAATTGAATTTTCACTTCACCCCACATGGCTTTTCTTCTTAATGTATGATGTCTTGATATTTTTCTCTTTCTTCATAGAAATCTTGGTTTCTTAGATGATGAGTGTAAGTTTCAACCCCAACCAAGCTGATTTTTACGTTGGGAAGAGATGTCTATTTAATCTCGAGGGTCGGGTCGAGTGGAAGGTTTGTGGAGATCCATCTTGAAAGGAGGTATCGGAACGAGAAAGATTCCCTCATTTGTATATCCATTGTTGGTTATCGAGCCCACAAAAGTTTAAAGTAATAATAATAACAAAACCGTCTTGTATCTAACCCAATCTTTCTTTTAGTTCTTGAATACTGAAGAAAGTCCCGAAACCTTAAAAGGTAAGTAGTTAATCTATGTTTGACAATAAGTACCTTTTTAAAATCTATATACATATATGTACGCATGCATAAGAATATATGCGTATATATAATATGTATGTATATATATGTGTGTATGTGTATGTATGTAATTGTGGAAAAATTGATGGGAAAGGACAAATTTGAAAAGTGATAGAAAAAACCCCGCTTGAATTCAAAGGGACAGATGGCGTAAGCGAGGGACGAGGTGGCCGTGGGAAGCTTTCTTCCAAACAGAGAACCAACAGCATCAGGACGAACGAAATCGAAACATTTTCAATCAATCAATTTGGATTCTCCAGTTTTGTAGGTTCAGACGTCATTCACTTCTTCTCCCAAATCTCTTCATCCCAACTGCGGATTCGGATTTCAATTTCTGCATCTCATTCATCAATTCCCAGTTTCTCTTTCAATTTCCTCGTCTCTTCCCACTTTACTCTCCTCTGCTTGATTCCGTTTCTCAGTTCTTATTTTCTTCAATTTCTGTTTGAAATTCATCTCCGTTTGTTCCTAATCCTTGACATTTAGGGTTTTTCCGGCTTCTTCGTTCAGCGCAAAAACCCTAGTTTTTGTTCTTACGAATTCTATTGATGTTTTTTTCTGCCTGAAATGGTCTTCGCTAGATGTGATGCGATCTCGTAGGCGTTTCGTTTCAATCTTCGTGTCTACTAATGGGCGCCCGAACCAACAACCGTAAGCGCGACGACGAGTGCTTGAGCCTTAATCGTTCGTATTCGTCTTTGAAATCACCGGATTTTCACGTCTCCAAGAAACCTAAAGTTTCGGCTTTGTCTTTGGATCGGCCAGTTTCCTCATCGAACTATACGGTGGCTAGGCTTGCCCGGTACCCTGAAGAAACTCCGCAATTGCGCCGAGAAGTACACGGCCCTTGCAGAATTCGCAAATTCGGGCTTTCGAAGAGCTTCTCTAGGCATTGGGAGTCAAAAAATAATTGCGAGTCGTCGGAACAGTACGCGGCGGGAAATATGTTGTCGTACAACTACCAGATTGCGAAGAATCGTGCAATTGGTGCATTGCGGTCATTCCCGAAGGATTTCATTGACTTGGATTCAGACTCTGAAACCGAAAGAGGCGCTTCTGGAGATTCGAAGAACGAAGACGGCGTCGAGGCAATTGAAGATGATAAACCGGACCAGAGGCCACGTGAGGTTAATACAGTGCAGGAATTGGATGCGAAGATGAAGAATGTTCATCAGCCGTCGACGTCGGTAGTTGTAGATTTGACAAATGCTGATTCTAAGGTCGAAAACGCTGAGGCGATGCTTGGTGCTTTGTCACTGGATCGAGACTTGTCCAGTGTTTCTGCTTACAAGAAGTTGCTTCAGACTGTGGAAAGGCGGACATCGAGATTGAAAAGCTTGGATTTCGAAATCGAGTTGAACGAGAAGCGCCGATCGATTCTTCAATCCCGAACTCCAAAGAAGAAGCCTCTTGATGTATGTTTCTTTTCGTCGCAGAGATAGATTAATTTTTGTTCTGGATAATGCAATTTCACCATTTTTATGCTAATCAATCCGTATTCGTTTATCGATCCAGGAGATTCCACAGGAACTTTTTACTCCTCTTACAAAGGAAGAGGAGGCGCAGGTTGAACGTGCGCTCTCTACGAACCGGTACCGTATGATGTTGTTCTTATAATCTTTCATTTTGTTCTTTTGTTTGACGTTTTTTCGTTCATTATTCAGGAGGAGAGTTTTGGTTACTCATGAGAATTCGAATATTGAGATTACTGGGGAAACTTTGCAGTGTCTGAGACCAGCTGCCTGGTTAAACGACGAGGTAGTTTTGAAGATTCGATGAAATAGTATCCGATGGATTATGATCTTAACTGAAATTTTCTGTTCTTGAAACCCGTCTTCCTAATTGTTGTATATTTATTGTTTGTAGGTGATTAATTTGTATCTTGAGTTGCTGAAAGAAAGGGAAAGAAGGGAGCCAGAGAAGTATTTGAAATGCCATTTCTTTAGTACCTTCTTCTATAAAAAGGTTGGTTAAGCTTTACTTCATTTTCCACTGCTTGCACCAATGGATTTGTATGCTAATTTACCTCGAGATGGTCAGATTTTGGTTGGGTACGTTTCTGAATGTTGTAATAATCAATGATTGGAAATCGAGCTGTTTGACGTGCCTCTGTGGTCTACATTTGAATTTACTATACGTGCAACGTTGTTTTTTTTCCTTGATTCGAGACCCTTTTGATAGTCTGCTTCGTTTTGTGGACTTTATATTTTTGTACGTCCTTGTATCCCTTCGTGTTTTTCTTAATGAAAGTTCAGATATTCGTATAATTGTCGGTCAGTTCAGCCCGTAAACTGTTTTTTAGGGAATTATCGTATGGAAGTGTGGTCTTATTCAAATGGATGTTTATGATGATCTGACTTTAGCTTGTATTTTTCGTTCTTGTAACATTGTCAACAGTTAAATGGAAGGAATGGCTACGATTACGGATCGGTTAGGAAATGGACCAACCCAAAGAAGTTGAAGTATGAACTCATTGATTGTGATAAAGTAATATTTTGCCCCTTTTTAACTCTATTATTCATCTAATCGATTGTGATCGATGGTACGATATTAATTCATTTGTTACTGACCCAATTCAATTACTTGTTTAGATATTTGTCCCTATCCATAGAGAAATACACTGGTGCCTAGCAGTAATCAACAAGAAAGAGAAGAAATTTCAGTATCTCGATTCTCTGAAGGGAATGGATTCTCGTGTTTTAAAGACATTGGTATGCTTTGTATTTTCTCTTCTCTATTTATTGCTTCATTTTTATGGTTCCTGAACTTATCGCGACGGTAGTTGTTTCATTGCGGTACACATCTAGCGTATACTAGCTATGTGATTAGTCGTTGGGCATGAAAATCCTAGTGAGTTGAACTTAGGAACCCTCTCGGTATGTGAACCCCTAATTCTTAGACGCTAAAACTAAAACTTCCAAATTGATTCGATCTCAATCCTAAAGTCTAAGTTAGACCCGGATTACCTGAAGATCTAAGCTCTTGAGATGAAGAATAGTAAGCTTGATCTAAGAGTCTAATATTCCACAAGATGAAGATATGAATTGTGTCACGAAGCTCTCTACCCAACTCGAAAGCAATGTTTTAAAAACTGTTTAAAGCTTAAGCATTGAGGCGAGGAGGCTCTAAGGTCGGCTCAGAGGTGTTTCAAGGCTTACACCTCTGAAGATAAAGGCGTAAGCGTCTCTGCTTATGCTTTGAGTCTAAGAGGCATAAGCCTCTAACTTCGTTCCACCAGAAATTCCAAGCGTTGGCTTTTGGTACTGAATCGACTTTAGATTAGCTTTACATTACAAAATACCTCAAACTCTCTTAGGGGATTTAATGAGTGCAACCTTCTTTTTTCCTTTGTTTATTATTTAGTGGTATGCGGATAGGAACTCGCTGTTTTCTTTTTTGCTTTTTACGTTCTTGTTTGTCTTTTTTTTTTGTGGTGCCATACCACTACCACTACCACGGCCACAGCAACCACCTACCCTTTTATTATTGTTTTATGGTTTACAAATTTTCAACAAATATTGTATTATATAAGTTTCTTAATTTTGTTAAATGTTCTTTAAGTTTTAACCTCTAATTAAAAAAATTAATGTGTTCCAGTATTTTTTTCTAAGTTTTCTCATCGATTTTTACTGTATTTTTTAAAGAAAATTTCTCTAGCTTTTAAATATCATGTTTAGTTCTAATTAAACAATGATGTATTTCGTACTTTTATGTGAATACTACAATATTAAGAATTTTACATTTTATGATTTTATTTTTTTTACTATTTAAAATGAGGTCAACCCATGATGGATTGTTCTTGCATTTATTTGCATATTCTCGAGAATGTTTCTTTTTAGGGGTATCGTTTTCTACTGGTTAATTTTTTTTTTTTTTTTACGTAAGTTATACACCTCGTTCTACCTAGGCTAACGCCTTGCCTTGCCTTGCCTCGCCTCGCCTCTTGTGCTTAGACTGGGAGAAGCTTTTAACATGATTTAGTTTTAAAAAACAGAAGATGTTATACCATTTCATCCTTTTGTAATCCCATTTACGAACGTTATAGTGTCAAGTTTTTCCATTATGGCAAGAAGCATAGGAGGTTTGAGAAATTGAGATAGTAGCTTTTAGAGTTTTGGTGAACTAGCTGAACTAGACATTCACGATTATTATTTTAATAACGAATGATGTCCGTTTATTTTTTTTCTTATGACGTGATAGTACAAGAGAAGGGCGCGCATATGTTTTGGATGCTCATTTTGATTATGCTTTTAATTCTATGTACCCAGGCGAGATATTTTGTAGACGAGGTGAAGAACAAGAGTGGAAAAGATATTGATGTAAGTTCTTGGGCACAAGAATTTGTCGAAGACCTTCCCGAGCAAGAAAATGGGTTTGTTCCTTTCAAACTTATATTTCGTTCTTGTAATTTATTAATTTTATTTTCACGTCTTTTTACGTGCTTCTCAAGATTTTGCATTTTTGTTTCTTGCAATTCTTTCAATTGAAACAGGTTTGATTGTGGCATGTTTATGATCAAGTATGCTGATTTTTATAGCAGAGGCTTGAATCTCTGTTTCAAGCAGGTAAAAAAGATTGTTGAAAGTTTTTAATCCACATGCCATTCATTTCTAATTCAATTATGAGCTCAAAAGAAGATTCAATTCCTTTCTTTCTTTCTTTGTTTCTTGTAGGAACACATGCCTTATTTCCG